GTGGATACGGCTGCGCCCGTACAGCCGCCGCTCGCCGCGCGATGGTTTGTACGCGCCGCTGCCATCCAAGCCAACGCCCCAGCTTCCGTAACCAACAAAGATGACATCTTTACCTTCCTCGTCTAGTGCATCGTTTAGGATTGGCCGATCTACCGGCCTGCCAGCCTCATCGACCACCGGGTTGCGTGCGGGCAACTTGAGGATTGCAATATCGGTAGATGCGCCGCCCATACCCTTTGGCTTTTTGACCCGTTGCGGTGGTACATACACAGTACCTTTGCCTGATGCGATGACTCGCCCTCCAGGTGCGGCAAAGGTCTTACTTGTGGCCGTTTCAGTGCCTCGATAATTGACGCAATGTGCCGCAGTAAGCACAAAACTCCAACCGTCTTTCTCACCAAGCCATGTTGCGGTGCAGCCACCCATACGGCCAACAACAAGCCAAGGTGTTTCGTAGCTAGATGCACGTAATTCTTCGTTGTGTGTCTTGATACTAGTCGCCACGTTCTTGACATCGCCGCCATGCCGCTCAAAGGTCGCCTTGTCAATGACAAGAGGGTGAGCTAATGACCATGCCGTCATAGTGGCCAAGCCAAGGCTCCAGATTGTGGCCTTCATTTTCTTATTTGAAATAAAATTGAAAAATGAGATATATATCTCGCAGCTTGTACAGAACTAATATGTTGTTCTGGGGAAGCTGTGATGTATTATATATGCAAATAGATGTATTTGCTGCAATTTTTACAAGCTACGTATATTATTAAGTGGTACAATGAATTTACTATGTGGCCTCAAGTTAAAAGTAAGATAGCAATACAAAGTCTCTTATTAGGAGCGTATTCCCTGCCTAAACCTACTATGAAATTGTATATTATCTCGGAAGTTGCATTTAATATTTCTGTATTACCTATAATAGTCGTGTTTTATACAGCGGAAAGACTTGTGGAGATGGTACATCGGCTTTAGTGGCTAATGGGGTAAGAATACATAAATAGTACCTAAAGCTTCCGTACAAATGGGCCTATAATACATATATTAAGACCTTTATACTCCGGGCAGGACCTTTTGTTTATCCGTGTAGCTAATCACTTGACTTCTGGGACTCTGGCAAGCCCACCCTCCATCTCGTAGTCGAAGAGATATTGAAAATCCGCCTCGCGTAACACGAGGTGTTCGCGAGCATGGACAATACTATTGATATTAATGGCTTGGCATTATGCCACGTTTATTTCATTAGCTAAATTCTATATTACTGGGTTTATTTATCTTATAGATGGCTATATTATAGCTTAACTATAGTCAATTCTATTGGTCTCGCGCACGCTTAGCCTGTGTCAATCATGCGACGTATACGTAATATGGAAGATACAGTGTCTCCCAATCATACGCAGGCTAGATTATCACACGAAGATCACGTCGCTACACTGGATACACGGCGTTTGACTAACATGCGAGAAACATGCATTATGCTAGCCCTCTGCAGATACATATGCATAAGGACTTGCCTTGGTCTTAATATAATACCTAATAGTTACATGTTCTCGGAAGGCGTTAATATCTATAGCGGTAGAAGAACAATTAGTCACACTACAAAAGGTCCGCTACTATATGCAGCTAACATTTTTCTCTTTACAGCTATCCACACGACAAATATAGACAGTCAGCCTATATTTTTCTACGCTAAATTCAACTGACTAATATTAATTTATAGCATAAAATTGAGGCAGAGATACCGTACGCCCAGAAGGGAAAGTATTCTATTGTATGTTTAGAACTGGCTCCAACTAACTAACATGTGTTCACCGCTATGCTATATTGACACAAGGGCAAGATTTACAGTGCAAACGGATCTTCTCTGGTTTTTGTAGCTCCACCGTATTCTAACGACTACAGGATGAATAAAGCGCCGCTCGTGCAGGATCCCATTAAAGCCTGAGCTTTCAGGGTGATAGATATATCTTGCGTCACGCCCCGTTACCCGAGTGGTTCTCTAGACGAGTAATCTTGTAAAGCATTTTTAAATAGGTTTGGCGATACGCGTCATCTGAGCGCTACATTTGTTAAGCCTTAATTAATTCCCAAGTACCCATACACCGCGACTATCTCTATATTCGGCGTGTCACTTCCACACTAACTTAGATGGGCATATTGTGACTTCTCCCTGTATTATATCACTAGCGGTATTGTAATCTTGGGTGCCTCAAAGCAGATTGATTAACTAGCACGTGGCAAGAGGGATGGGAGCTGCTTGTGGTTATACTTGGGGGAGCTAATTCCAATTGTAGCCTAACCATTTTAAATTTGTGTCTAATTAATATTACTGTTAAATTGTGCATCTTTTCCAGGCCTAAGCCGAAACTAAAGAAAAGCCCTGTCTCCCGTACACGACTGCTAGTCGCGACAGAATCCTGCTACACTCTTCATTATATGTATTACTTGGCTAATGTATTTCATATTTGCACAATCCTCGACTGCCTAACGTTATACAATTCACTGTCTTATTGTATTTCAACCCCCAATACTTGAACCTTATAAAGAGCGAATTCCCATTACCGTTACATGTGATCCATGTAGAGTGATTTATGCTTCTCCTGTATTACCAGTAAATCTGACACTCTCTTTGCGAAAAGGTGTAATATATTGACTGTAAAGAAGCGTGTAGCAAAGGCATTCTCACTCACCTACACTTTTCTAACAAATTTAAGACTCAATCCTAATAAAACTAATAGCTCTTCCATCCATTGCCAACTCAGCAGTCTGGATACTAACTTGTCATCTACTCGATGGATTTATCGCCTGGTAAAGCACAACTATTGTCTTGTTGTCTTGTTATTCGTCCACGTCACTCATGAAAAACTCTGAACTAGACCCCGTGTCAAACGATTAAATCTGCTGCCTAGGTCCATTGTCGTCGATTACTTATACGCTATTGAGCCTAACCCTCAATTTAACGACAGACTTTCCGCAAAACTTGGGGACTAGGGACTTCAAGTTAAGTACAAACCTTCAACGTCTACTATTCAAAATAATGTTACATTGAGAATGGGGGATTTGTCAAAGGGCAATATAGAGACCATGCTTGGCACCCGATTCGTAGGCGTAAAGCGCGATTTGCAGAGACTTGGAAGAGATTCATATATGTAATTAAAGCCAGGGCCTTAAGTTCGTGTTAGGAGCATGAAAGCATATAACGTATTTTTGGGAGCAGCCTGTCAACCCCATCTCCGAGGCTCCTTGTCTCTACACTTAGTTGCAAAGCATCTTATTTATAATACATTCCAATACATGCAATGCCTTCAGTTCCACCCGGAGGTCTCCTTCTCGTCACAGGCGCCAATGGCTATGTTGCTAGCGTTGCTACCCAAGTTTTCTTGCAGCGCGGGTACCGAGTTCGTGGCACTGTTCGCTCCGTCGCATCAAATATCTGGATGAAAGCGTACTTCTGACCCAAATTCGAACTAGTTGAGGTTCCGGACATTCATTCTCCAGGTGCCTTCGATGAGACTCTGAAAGGGGTGGATGGCGTTGCTCACACAGCCATGAACATGGATATCAATCCAGAAAACCAAAACGTTATCGACGAGACTATCCCGTCCAACATATTATTGCTAGAGACAGCAGCAAAGGAACCTACGGTTAAAAGTGTTGTGGTTGCGTCGTCCCTTGCTGCATGCGTAGTTCCCACAACTGGCGTGCCGTACAGAATCGACTCATCTTCCTGGAATACTGCAGCCATTGAATAAACAACCAAACCAAGGGATGGCAAGGGAAACCCCCGTTGGCATGGATTCATGCTCTACAGCGCCTCTAAGGCGCGTGGCGAGCAGGAAGCTTTTACATAGATGCACAAAAACAAGCCACCCTTCTCATTCAATACGGTGCCTAATGTAAACTTCGGCATAGCCATTTCGTCGGAGAACATGGGCTATCGTAGCAGCTCTGCCGTTATCGATGCCGTTGTTAAGGGCTATCCTGCTGCACCGTCAATTTTGCCTCCACAGTAGTACGTTGATATTAAGGATACAGCACCGTTGCACCTAGGAGAGTTGACACTCGATGATGTGAGTGACAAGCGTCTATTTGCATTTGCAGTGAAATACTCACGGGTGCAGATCCTTGAAATCATACACAGGCGAGACCCCGAAAAGATTAAGCTAAAATCAGCACTGAGTGAATGAGGAAGCCGTGGATGCTGGCGAAGTGGATAATAAGCTCAGTGTTCAGATTCTAGAGAAGATGGGCCAGAAGCATGGGTTTACCTCGTTGGAGAATACACTTATCAAGGCCGTGAATACTTTTATCGAGCACCAGCCCAAGAATGTTCCCAAGACAAGTATAGATCTTTATTCGACTCTCTGTCGAATGGGTCAACTAAGACTGAGTATAAGGAAGTTACTTTGATAATAGATTATACTATATATAAGAATCTACGGCTTAATTTAATATTTGCAGAAGACGTGTATAGTAATCTCTTTAAACTTAGTACGTTATAATGTATTAGTCTTTTGCATATTAAAACTTATTTAAAGCCTTAATAAGCTAAGTTATTAAATACAGTCTTACTACCAATGCCTTATCTCCTATTCACAACCTTCACTATACTAAGAGAGTAGCGAAATTTACTTTAAATATACGCATAGATAAAATCTAGCCAGCTAAAAAATACCTTTATTAAGAGCCTGATTTAGACAAGGCCCTTAAATTCGCATCAATCTTCACCTAACAGCTAGAAAAGCTGGTTGAGTCATATATTAAGGCGAAGTTGGAGGACTAATATCTCGAGACGGTATTTGTGGACCTATTCCAGGCGAGCTTAGTGGACTGATATTAGGCCATTCTTCTTTTATTCTCGCTTGTTCCTTTATTCCTTCATTTAGGCGTGTATTGAAGTTGGTTGGGGGGATAAGATTCATGTAGAGGCATGGCTGGTTGTGCAGGTAATCCGCTAACTCCTCTCCGCGTTCTTTGTAAGTGCCTTTTGGCACTTCTGGCTGCATACTAACTGTTGCCGCACTTCTTTGCGAAAATGATTGTTAATTAGCACTAGAATGATGAATGTTTCTCTATATTTAGAACAGAAAAGCAAAACATACTCTAATCTTACAACAGGTCGTAGTTGCCGAGTTTCGTAATCTTCGGTATGGCTAGAGCTGTCCTTACTGCAACTACTACCCATTTTTTGGACGTTGTACGTTAGGTAGGAATAATAGGTAAGATGTATATGAGATAGTGCTATGAGTCGTTATTATTTAAATTTTTACACCCCGAGGCACTATAGTTCATTTTATATCCCACCACGGCTAAAACCATGGGGCCTTCCTATTAGCTAGGCATAAAGGTATTATGGGACCTAAGACCAGAGAGCAAACTACTCAAAGGGAAACAAAAGACAAGGCACCAGAATCATTCCTAGGGGCGCTTAGAGGTTCTTAGTCAAACAGACCGTGACTTTTTAGGAGCTGTTAATGGAATATAAGGGAATCGCTTGGAAATTAGAGCCTCTTTTTTTTGTCGCGACAGGAGCCTTAGAACTCTGAAATTTCCAGTCCTTTGTTTCTAGAGCCCTGAATTATTTTATGGCTAGGGTTGCACTTCTTTGTCGTCAAAAACAAAGCCCTAGGCGCCCAACGCGGAAAACAATCGTATCAAAGACGTTTGAGCAGTATTACGGTAATTCAATCACGGGAGACTGCAAAGGGAGAAGTTGGATAAAAGGTTTACGGATGCAGATTCACTGAGCACAAAGAATATCGCTGTGAAGGAAGCAGCTAAATGACATTCCAGAGTTTCTGGAGTTTGTCTGCACAATGGACTGAGAAGAGAAATGGGAGGCACAATAGATAGTTTGGTGAGCTACCACGATATATTTCCGCAGAAGGGGCCGACGGACCATTACTGCCATTTCGAAGATAGCCGGCCAGCGCTTGTGGCGATTGGCAACTAAGCGCCCATGTCTAAGTTCATGGCTTCCATGGTACACGTGAGTTGCTGCTTATGTACTTCAATGGAACTACAATAAAATTTTAACCGTTTATTAAGGTCCTACTCGTCGAGATTCACTTTAAATCAGAAGGGGCGCACGAGGCAGTGGGCGGGATCATTCGTTGCACAATAGGAGGATCTACATCTGCGGACTGACATCCAACTCCCGACAATGTCGCCGGAATCTGGGGTCAATGCGGCAGCAGAGCCCGGACTGGTCCAACGGGTTATGCCGAGGGTCTTATCTGCCAGCACCAGGGTGCTTAGTACTCTCAATGCCTGCGTGTGTGGCTTAAGCTCTAGCGGTGCCCCAGAAGCATAACTAACAAATCAACCAGGGAAGAAAAAGAAAAATTCTTTTCCTTTACTCGATACTATTTGTAACCTTTTATTCACTTGAATAATTTCGCTTCTACGCAACAAGAGTACACAGTCGTGTTAATGCGTGTTATCGCACCGTGATTCCATCAAGTTGCGCGCTACGTGCCTGCAATGTTAAAACGCTTTGGGAGGTTTATTGTAATTGTAGAGCTCAGAGTCTCCGGGTTTAAAGTATAAGGCAAGGGCCTAAATTCAACCAGTAAATATACCAAAAATGTATTTATTGAAAAAGCATTCCTCGGTCTAAACTTGACCTCTTAATGACGTTCGAGTTGGGCGCCACGGTGTACTCTTGATAATAGTTTGGTCAATGCTGAATTGAGGTGCAGCACGCCGAAGTACCCCTCTCGTTTATGAATTGGAAGGGGGGGTCCTCTTCAATACCAATGGCACTTGGTTGCTGTCCTCACCATCCGTCACGTTCCACTGTAGCAAATAAACATCGTCTATAGCAGTTGGAACAGCAGACCAAAGAGACTCCCATTTCCCATCACTAGTCAATAATAATATGACGTTCCCATAAAAGCGAAAGCCCGAGGTAATTGTGTTAGAGGTGTCGTTTACCGCTGTTACAAAACCAACTTGATTAGATGACGACTCGGGTCCCGGAATAGCAAATTCGCGGTTCGACCACGTCGGAGGATCAATCGAATTTACAGGACGAGTAGTATTAGGATTCCCAATCCAAGATCCGTTTTTGACCCCTGTATGAGCAGGAGTTACTAGAATAATGTGAGTTACGGGCTTTCTGTGAAACTAGCAACGAGACAACGTACTTATAACTGGAGCAGCCTGTGACTGATTCGTACTTTGGTAGTCACCAATAAAGGCATTACCTACATATTGAGTCAATTCAAGCATATCAGCGGAGGGAAGTTACTATTTACCACCGGAGGAGAAAATTGAAAGGCCACCAATGCCAGGACCGTAGGCATACATCTGAAATGGCTGTGTAGAGCCTCGTCTGCTGATCATTTCCCCTTTTGTATTGCATAGAAACAAAATGGTAATCGAGGCCAAAACATACGGTGAGATCATGATGGAAAGGAATTCAAGAATAACGTGGCTAACAGAACTTCTTGACAGGTGTGGATGAAATGAATGCAATGGCTCCAGATAACATTGCTTGATTTGAGGCAGATAGTTCTTACACTTTTATATCCGAGTAAGAAGCCTCTTCCTTACTTAGGTAAGCGGCAAGTCAAACCCGGCTTGCCGTGTCCGTGTCCACAATGTCTCAAATCGCTGACGCGGCAAGTCATCACGTAGCAGACCGGCATCTTTTCTTGTCAGCCAATCTAAAAGCTGTTGGCTTAGCTTGACATTTTGCTACTACTTGTAAGCTTTCTACCATAGTCACAGAGCTATGCTGGGCATTGACCTTCTATTGTAGCTATAAATAGCGTTTGGTCTCGGGGAGTGGCTCTAATGCACAATCGTACGCGTAATGAACAGGCTATCCACCGGGATGTGGGCGTCTAAGTTACAACTTATACAAGTAAAAAACTCCATAGTACCAACTAGTAGGTTTTTAATTTAATAGAAGTTTAATTATGAGTAGTTGCAAGGCTCTGGTCGTCATGTTATTAACTAGTTACGCGGCCTAGGCTTACGCGGCCCTAGAAGAAATGTCAGGATGCTCCTCGGCAGTGATTGAGGTTCAGGATAGCAGAAATAAAGGTTTTTTTATATGGACTAGCCTAGTCTCTAAGATAAGTTACTGCGGATAGAAGCCGTACCACCGAACCATTGTTCATAGCAAAGATAAATTTGCCTCTCGTCCCTAATCTTTCTATGCATTCAACATCTTTATCGGAATCTTTAACAATGAGTGAATATTTGGTTCTTTTGCTAGGAATCGCCGCCAAAGTCATTTCGGCGGCGGCTTGTACCGGAAACAGTGCAACTAACCGCACGCAGTGGTGTGACTACTCTGTGGCAACCGACTATTCCACCACTGTTGTTGATACTTCAGTCACTAGAGAGTACTGGCTAGAGTTAACAGATGTTTCTGTAGATCCTGACGGCTTCTCTCGATCTGCTATAGCCGTCAATGGCAGTATTCCTGGACCAACCTTGTTTGCGGATTGGGGTGACACTGTGGTTGTGCATGTTACCAACTCTCTAACGACCTCCCTTAACGGTACGAGTATTCACTTTCACGGTATACGTCAAAACTACACCAATGAAAATGACGGAGTTGTATCTATTACACAATGCCCACTTGCCGTTCACCAATCGACCACTTACACTTGGAAAGCCACCCAGTATGGCACGTCTTGGTATCACTCACATATTGGCCTCCAGACCTGGGAAGGAGTTTTTGGGGGCATTATTATTAATGGACCTGCAAGTTCAAATTACGATGAAGATCTCGGGATGGTCTTCCTAAACGACTGGGATCATCAAACAGTGGATGAGTTGTACTCTGTGGCCCAAACGGCCGGACCACCCACGCTCGACAACGGCCTGATCAACGGCACTAATGTCTACGGATCTGACGGAAGCTCTTCCCAAACAGGGACTCGTTTCAATGTATCGTTTACATCAGGAAAATCTTACCGTCTGCGACTCCTAAATGCGGCAATTGATACACACTGGAAGTTTTCCATTGATAATCACACGATGACGGTGATTGCGTCAGATCTCGTACCAATTCAGCCCTTCACAGCCACAGTGTTGAATATAGGAATCGGTGAGTAAGCCATGTTTGTGTCGCTATATATACCGCACAAGCCCAACTATATAACAGATATTCAAAGAATGAAGTTAATGGAAAGGAATCATTTTGTAGCCCAGCGATACGATGTCATCGTGACCGCTGACCAAGCATCCACAGCCGACAACTTCTGGATGCGTGCGATTCCCCAGGCCGCCTGTTCTGAAAACGAAAGTTCCAACAACATCCGAGGTATTGTATACTACGGCGACAGCGCTGGAACCCCCACGACAACGGGATACAATTATACAGACAGCTGCGACGACGAAACAGCCAACCTGATACCCTATGTTAGCAAGTCAGTGTCCAATGCAAATTGGAATGATCTGGAGCTGGCAACAGTAGGCACCAACAGTGCTGGACTGTTCAAATGGTATCTCAACAGTACAACGATGCTCGTCAACTGGGCGAAGCCGACTTTGCAGTCAGTTTTGAGTGGCACAACAAGCTATGACAATGACACTGCCGTCATACAGCTTAGCGACGCAGACCAGTGGATATATCTCGTAATAGAGACAGCGCTTGCAGTACCTCACCCAATTCATCTACATGGACACGACTTTTTCGTCCTCGCACAAGGGTCAGGCACGTATTCCTCTAGCACCGTTACGCTAAACACAGACAATCCTGCACGGCGTGATACGGCTTTGCTGCCTGCGTCGGGATATCTTGTGCTAGCATGGCAGACAGACAACCCGGGGGTGTGGTTAATGCATTGTCACATTGGCTGGCACACTTCTGAGGGATTTGCGTTGCAGTTTATTGAGAGACAAGGCGAAATCGGGGGCATCACAAACTCAACTTACGTGGACAATGTGTGCGCAAATTGGAATACGTACCAAGGAACCGCACTTATCGAGCAAGAGGATTCAGGCGTCTAGCTGTAGCACCACATTCAATTCTTTTCTCTTTTACAAAAACTCAACTCGAGACTGACCGGCAGGGCACGCAATTCTGGACGAGGTTGGGCTTTACTATCTTTCCTCAATTTGTCTTTATAATTAATAGTATTCATGCTCTACTAGCACTGTATCAGCCAGTATCACATTTGAAGCATAGAAAAGGGTTATGCAGATCGAGTAGGTAGCCACATGGCCATTGCTATGAGGCTTTCCCGATCTACACTTTCTCAAGACACTACATTACTATACCAAACCCATCCGCTCCAAATGCGTGGAGGGGAGCCACTGTATGTATTAATAGCACATCATCCAAAGCCTTTGTCTCAGTCCCAACTGAGTGAGGTCCGAGCCAAACACACCATGGCTCAATATGAAGTCTTCAAGCTCTCTGTGATGGGCTTGACACGATCCGCCTTGGCATCTTTGTCTTCGAGCAGATGAGCGTCACTCTCGGCAGAATTCTGGAAGCCGGCCTTCCAAGTCGGTACGAGAGTGGCCAATGTGGCATTAATAGGCGTTCGCCTCCTACGCCAAGGTGTTAGAATGGCTGGGTTGCTAGCAGAGTGACTAGAGAGATGTGGCAGAGAGCCTCGCTACGAGTGAGCTGTTTGGCAGGGTTCAATGTTGTCAATACTTGTATTATATTAATCTCTGAACCTCTCACTATACAATATAACCCCTGAATTTTAGCTAGGTGTGACACAGCAGGGTGGGGTTATCGGTTAAGTTATGGACTAATAATTACTTTTATAATTTATTTATTATATATAAAACCTTAAAATAAAAAAACAAAAAAAAAACAAAAAAAATTATCGATATTAAATATCGAGAGACGTGAAGACATGATATTAGGTGCGGGTGCTCACCCGATACTACCCCCCCTAAGAGTTTAGCGGTTAGGGTTAGTGGTTAATGTAAGGGTTAGGGTTGGCCCGCGAGATTTAAATTAAAGTGGAGCTATTATCGGATGAGCAGTGCGACCTACTATCATTTTATGTACCGCCACGTAAGCCCCGCTGGAAGTCACTGCTGGCTCAACTTACAGAGATTAGATTCTACCAGTTGACTAGACCCTTCGTTGAGTTTCCGTTTCATACCTCGCTATGACCTCGTGGTTAGATAGTCATTTCTGTTTATACCTCGCTATGACCTCGTGATTAGATAGATAGTCAGGGCATAGCTTTTACACCTAGTGGGTTCTAGGTGGTCCGTGCGTTGGTTCCCCGCTATTCTATCGGTCCCTGATACAAGGGGTCAACGGTGCGCGATGAGCTGCGGACATCATGCTGTTAACGGAATATAAGGGGGTATAATTGCTATTCGATCAGAGCGCGTTCTTTTTCGCGATACATGCAAAGGAGATTGCAGCGGTCTAAACTGCACGACGGAGAGGCGAGCAGACGACGGTCAATACGCCCTCGACATCCGCAAATTTATCTCTGAGCTCACGCATCGGCCCTTAGCCTTACTGGTCAAGAGGGCATCGCGAAGAGTATATATCGCGAATCCAGTTGCGGTACTGTAGCTTACATCAGAGCAGTATACGACCAGCTGCCAAGGTATGTTTCCTCAAGGTCTTGTTCGCCCTCTCCATGACGGACGCGGTAGATGGTTGGAGGCATCGCGAACTTGATGTCGCTTAAGCGCTTGTGCGTGTGCGCGTGTGCGTGAGAGGCATGAAGATGAAGCTTCGGGCTGCGGTTGAGGCAAATTCTAATCGAGGTAAGCCTCTGCATCCGTGCTGCATCTAGCTAAGGATTTTCTAAAGGATCTGGTGGCTTCGTTCCTTCTACTCCCACGAGACGTTGTCACCCGGTGTCGAGAAAGGCTGCAAACGCATTTTGATCCAGATGGTCCGCTCAAACAAAGAGAGGCAAGAGACTGAGTGCTAATTCAGGGCCTCTGCTTTGGTCTCGTGATGATAGCCCCCGTGTAACTATGTGACAACGGCTAATTGATTATTAAGATTGTTGAAGACTTCAATTCATTCAATTATCCAACCAGAGACTATACTATTCCTGCAGCCCTCAGAAATACAAGAATATTCTTTCAAGTCTTTTCATCTTGTGAAATACAAGGCGAACAACCCTATGGCGAATAGGAGTCTTGCATCTATGCTACGTGCCCAACTCGGGTGATGGAGCAATAATAAACGTCTAAGCCTGTTTCTCATCCTCCGTTATACCCACTGTTTCCACCTCCTATGGCTTAAGCTTTACAATAAGTATTGTTAACATCTTACCGCTCAGCTGCCAAATACTCATTTGAGCAGTAGTTGACCGAAGATATCATGTCCAGGGGTCCGACACATCGATTAAGTCGATTGCCAGTCCCTCCCGTCAACGAGCTATCAGTATCCCCAGGTGCTTCACTATCGTCGTGGTCATCCTTTTGCTGGCGGTCTCCTTTGTCAGTCACAAAGGAACAAGTCTACGTCAACGAGACGTCCATGAAGCTCTCAAGTCCAGCATCAAGGACGCGGGGGTCGGCGCGGGTTTTGAACTCGTTTACACGCGGGAAACAAAACGCGCCCAGGAAGTGGAACACGCCGCATCACTTGTAGAATCCCTGCCGACTTGGAGAAGGATAACCGCGTAACTTGGAGTACGGAGGGGGACTCGGAAAAGAAGCAAGGAATAACAACTTTCCTACGGGGCGCTATTCTGCCCTACTGACGAAATAACGTGCCTTTTCGTTTTGCATTAATGTGGAGATGGGAGTGGTCTTTGGTGGTGAAATCCGACGGTTGCTATGGCTCGAAAGGAAGGATCCGATTGATGCTGTCGAGTTGGATGGCGGCGAAGATTTTGGACGGCTGGCAATCACAAGGCTCGATCAAGAGGCGGCGGAGTTAACCAGCATTCTGGATATAAACGTCGAAGATGTACTTTAGAGTCCTTGTGGTTAACTTGTTGGAAATTGTCCATCGAGACATTGTACAAGAACACTCTCAGAGACGTTGAGAAAAACATTGCACAGTGTGACTTCACATTTCCTAAATCACCTCGATTCCTTTCACAAACTCAAAACAACGTGTTTAGTTGTCTAGCTCCAGTCTGTCGACTCCCTCCAATACCACCGCTATGGCTTTGTTCTAGCCAGGGTCAGAAATAGTGAGATGTTCCATCTTCCGCCAGGATCAGAATTGAACCCGTGCATCCCAGTGCCTGTTTGTCAATAATCAATCGAATACCTTGGCAGCCATCATGTTGTATGGGAATATGACCTGTCATGCTGTGGTTTGTTTCCGACACTGTGTCAGCGAGCGCATCAAGAGCCGTGATACAGTAGTGACAGGGCAGCCTCGTCTCATGTTCTTTGAGATATATTCCGTATTTACCTAAAAGTCTGGCGCAGAAATCGTAGCTACCCAAGTCCATATATTGAGGACCGCTCAGAAAGTTGTCCCGGCTCGTATTCTTTCTATCCTGCTATTAAACCAGCAATGGTGATACTTCAACGCGTCACTGACAAAGGATTCTAGTTACTCGTCGCGACAAGGCCAACGAATTTCAGTAAGTAGAAGGCACGTAATGCAAGAATTTAATGTCTAATGGGTTCTTCTAGCCTCGTTCACGCAAGTAAGCCAGCGGCCTGCCGCCGATTCACCTAACACCGAGAGAGGGGGACCTAGAAGAAAAAAGGAAGCAATTATTGCTGCTAGAACATAACGAGCTTGCGCCAAATCAGTTGAAAGCAATGTATTTAGAAACCAAGCACCCCCAACAAAGCAAGGCGAATGCTAGAGACAATGGTGAAGCTGAGAAAGACTCTCTCAAAATGCAGCCTCTAGAGCAAGCAGCTGCACCCGGACATCTTGAAGAGTTTCGTGAGCTGTCCAAGAACCTCAATAGAACTCGGAAGCAAGTCGATCCTCTGCTCTGCTTGGTGCAGCATCAAGCGGCTTCACGGAGATTGCTCGGGAACTTAAAGCTGGAGCCAACACTTCTCTCAAGGATAAAAATGGGAACCGGGCACTGCATTTGTCCGCCAATTGCGGACATACAGACATTATGGAGCTATGATTGGATACGAGATATCGCCCTCCGGGTGATTTCGACGTCAACGCGGTGAATAGCTCTAAAAAGACTCCCTTACCCTCGCAACGGAGTCTGGCCAGATTCATTCCCTTCAGCTGCTGCTTGATAAGAATACCAACATAGACGCCGTTGCCCACACTGGCGAGACAGCCTTTCATATTGCTGCATCAGTAGGCCATCCGGAAATCATGAGGAAGCTGCTTGCGGCGCCTAATAGGGGAGACCTCATTTGTCGCGAAAACAAAGATGGCCATACTGCCCTGACCCTGGCTGTGCAGAAAGGCCACACTGGTATTATTGAGAGACAAAAATACCGCCCAAGAAACTTCAGGGTTGCCAAATAAACGCTTTAGTTATGGCGGCCGAAGATTTACAAAAGAGCGGGGATATGGCTCGTTGATGTCTGGACAGCGGCTGGGACGTCAATGCAAACAGTCGAAGCTCTTATTGAAGGTACGGCGCTACATACAGCCGCATTGGTGGAAATGCGTCCGTCGTGAAACTTCTACTTGACCTTGGAGCAGAGCATTGCGCTCAAAATTTCCAGGGCAAGCAGCCGCTGCATCTTGCGGTCGAATGGGGGAAAGAGGAAGCGATAAAGATGCTTTTGTCCAAGGGCGCAGATATAGAAGCAAAAGATAACCAAAACGTATCGCCTATCTCGCTCTCTGCCGATTTTGAGGATAAAAGCATCATGAGAACGCTTATAGAATTGTCCCCGGGCGTGGACCTCGAGAACAAGGGACATCCTACAGGACGGCCAATTCTGCAATCATGTTATAAAGACCCTGAGACCCTGACCCTACGAAGCAACTTCTTAAGCGAGCCGTAAAACCCTTGACACGCAGCAATCTTGATGTTACTGGCGTCTTCCTAGCGGCAGAGGACCGGAATGGTGCCCAAACTATCCAACAATATCGGGACGCTGGTTTCCGCGGCACCGGGACAAAATATCCAGACTGTCGAGTTTCTTCTGGGAAAAAATGTCAATTTTAATGCCGCAGGCACCAAATCGCTGTATTATACGGCACTCCAAGCTGCGGCACATGCAGAATCTTTGACAACTATTGTTCAGATTCTGTTGGACAATCGTGCCAACGTCAACCTCGACGGCGGAAGCTACGGCAGCCCTCTGTGCGCCGCGATCGAAGTCGAAAATATTGACATGGCTAAACTCCTCATCAATGCCAAGGCCGATGTCAACTACACTGGTGGTGAAAGGGGCACACCTCTGGAGCTCGCCCTAGTAATTCGGTGTACGAGCTCGCTGAAATGTGTCTGGAACATGGGGCAGACACGAGTCTCGTCTCCCCGGGCACAAGTAGGACACCCTCGCTGACGTGGAACTAGAGTGTAAAAACGGGTACCCGTGGGCACCCGTGGGTATCCAAGTTTTTCTTGGGTTATTCGTGGGCTACCTATTTTATCATGTAGGTGGTTTAGGTATACCACGAGTAACCTAATATAAAGATAAGTACCCTATAAATACCTATAAACGTATAATAATATAATATAATAATATAAATTAATTTTTTTAAATTAATTATAATAATTAATTATAATAATTAATATTAACTCTTTAATATTTAATTATATTTATAATAAGTCTTAAGTTTAAAGTATAAAGTAAGTTATATAGGTTTTATTTAAGTACTTAAAAATACCTAATATTTTTAATAAATAATTATAAGTACCTTATTTTCCTCTATAAATTTATTTAGGTCTTTTTTTCTTACCTATACCTATCTAAAGCTCACGGGTAAGCAACCCACACGGGTACCCGTGGACCTTTTACACCCTACGTGGAACCATCCAATAAAGGGTAGCACAGCTACCAACCTGCAAGACCCTTTGGGCCAGACGGCCCTCATACACGCTACTCGTGGTGAAGACGAGGACAAAGTTCAGAAATTGCTGAAAGGGTGGCCATCTTCTCTCCAGAGACGTGCGCGGCCGCGACGCGTTGTACTGGGCAGCTCTCAATGGCAACGCCGACATTTTTGACGTTGTTTCCCTCAAGTGGAGAACTTGGGACAAACTGAACCACACTTTGTTCATGCAATTAATGCCGCCGCAGCGGTTAGCAAGGTAAGTTTTGTTAAGAAGCTGTTGGCTAAGATCCATTTTGCTTCTACGTGGGAGCTGGCGGACAGCAATGGATGGACCGCGCTGTGCACCGCTGAACAATATCGCGATTCTAATATCTTGGCCATGATGAACGGTTCATGGGAAGTGCAGTTCGGGCAAGTGAAGGCTTGCCGCCTCTCTTAAAGGCTCCAATAGAATGGCACCCCTAGGATATGGCTTTCTCGCTCCTACGTCAACCAGATGCCAGATCAATTTCAGTGGGCTGTATGTAGACTTCCTATACAAACCAGTCCGGAAGAATAGGGGAAACGCTCCTAGCGAGTAGCCCTGACTAGGCAAGTCTTTTGGTCCGGGCAGTAGTATAGGCCTTGCACGAGCGAACTACCCAATGATCCCGATAACAGATGGTGTATACTGTTTCGAGATAACTATTGTGAGCAGAGGCGACGGGTTTGGGTATGTTCAAGTCACTTCCGTGTCTGCAAATGCCTCCTCTGACGCTTACAAAACCTCTATAGGCGTTTTGGTGTGGGCTTATGTGAGAGCACACCCCGTTGGGCACCCACGTAGGCCGTCATCCGAGACCTTGGGGGTATTATGGCCAAGACGGCGAAATTTTCTCAGGCTCACCATGCTTTCCTGGCCGGAAATACGGCCCGACATTTGGTGAGGGCGATGTTACTGGATGCGGAGTAAACTTCTAGAAGAAAACTCGATTCGTCACGTTATGTGACTCATTAATAACAGAATCCTTTCACAAATTCAGTCTAATTATTGTTTTTGACCTATATTCTAAACGAGACCATGTTATTTACCTGAGTTTAGAAAGGTTTTCACCTAACCTAATTCTACAAGGTGGCTAGCTAGCCTTTTATCTTTTTAATATCTATGGTTTTACGTCGCTTGGCAATGAACGGTAAAACGACCCATATTGGACGCCGGTACAATGTCACGGTGATGACTATTAGCCCGAGACTCCGCAAAGCCTCCGTGTTCTCAAACAGAACTGTAGTCCTTCTAGAAAGCCTTAATGGTTTTATTACCCACTGGGCTTAATGGTTTGAGCTTTCAAGCGTTATTGTGGCAGATATATAGGGAGAGTCTAGCTTCACCAATCACATTTGTGGCACCATTTGTGTAATATCAATAAATAACGCGGTAGGCATCTACTTATAAAGACTAGTCCAGTCGTAAGGGAAAGTTCGTAAAGACTACGAATGCAATACAATACCGTACTAGACGGCTATGCCATACAAATTACCATGCAACCATAAATGAAGGATCAACTATCAGAACGCCACTATATCCTGGGTAAATATTAAACGAAAAACCCGACTATTATTGAGAAATAACCTTTTTTTTTCATTATAATCTTGCTGGCCTAATCGTACAGAGAGTTTACCGATATATTTGAGCGTAATGTGAAGTCTACCTTACCGCTTAGCTTTGCTTTGTAGCTTTTATTAATTTAGTCGGCAATTCATAGTACCCTCCATCTTGTATCTCATTGCCACATGGCTACACGAGAGCTTTCATCACGGGACCTAGGGCGCAAAACTCTCAACGAGTTACTGTGTAAATAAAGCTCTTTGCTCTATCCAGGCCTTGAGGAAAACCAAAGACCTTTAATACTAAAGACCGTTATAACAGCTGAGTTGAGTTGTTACTCCAAGCCTTCACGTACTGAGCCCTCGTCACACTCATATCCTATACATATACAAATATGGTCCACTTCCATTGGCTCAAGCGGGTTGCGGTATCGACGTGTACTAGTTGATGTGTACTCGAAGTGCACAGTGTCGTGTTTGGCTCCATGCACTATTTATACACAAATATGCAAATATAAGCTCCGAAAGTCTAGCTAGTACAAGTCACTACACTCATCTGTAATATATCCGCCTAGCCCATTTCGTACCAGACAGTACTCTCTGTAGTGGGATGGAATGGCTTGACGAGCCACGCTACACTTGAAGGAAAAAGGGCGTTTTGGTCCACCAGTTCGGCAAGCTCTTGTAAATTCAACTGATAGAATACAATATCCCCACGACGAGCCAAGCATAGTTCCAATCTGATGTATACGGATAGAAGAGGCAACATTTCTCCACCCAATGAACTCCCCAAGGCACAACCACTTGGCAGACCTGTCACGTAACTGCCCACTTAGCTGCCACCATCTATCGATCGACAGGAGCACATACAGTATCCGCGCCTATTTATTGCGCTTAGTCGTGTTGATTAAACACCCGCTCATGAAAACGTCTTCTTTCACGACTGTCGCTTAGGAAATCGGCATCGATTTCTCGACCAACTATGAGAATCTTTAGTCCCGTCGGACACGCTTCTATAAGGTCTAGTAACAGCTTTAAAACCGTGCTTGAATCGCTTAGACAGTTAGGCCGATCCAGTATCAAGTATATTCTGTTGAATGATAAGTTTTTCAATAAGTCGCTAAGAACTGAATACAGCTTGAACAGCCGAGAACGGCGATCGTCATTGTTTGCGGTTTCGGCTTGGATAACATTTAACCTCAATTTTTCGAAGTGCTGGTCGTCATTGAGAATTACCTTTGCATTTTTCGTACAGAGCAGCTGATATATCAGAGCTGACATCACGGTTGTTGGGGAGACACGTCTCATTGGGACACGCAGGTCTATGTCCGCGTCTTGGCGGCGGTAGAAAATCAGGCCAGTATTACTTGGACTCTGTTTCGGCTTACTGTGTAGACGAATGACGCCTGTCGCCGCGGGTGAAGCCCAGCTCAGGCGGGTGCTTTCTGGCGCAACCGTTTCCCCTCTGATGACCAGGAAACTAGAAGTGATGTCCGTGTCCCAAGCCTGATAGAATCCATCTCTTTCAAGCTTCCCTTTGAAGTCAAACGGTTCCAGTTTTCTGGTGTTGTTAAAGATCCCTCCAACCTGGCCTGTACACATCAAGACGAGCATAGATATCTTCATCCACAGTGCCAAGCAGCTCTCTCAATGACTCCAGTCTTTGTTCTGCTTTGGAAGAAAGGTTCACTAAAGGGTAAAATAGGCTGTCAATACCAGTGGACCAAGGCTATGTTTGTCATAAGGGGTAGGAGGGGTCAAATACTAACACTCGAGGTTCTCTTTAACCTTTGCTTCCACAGACGTTAACCGAATGCTGTCTTGGGTGGCCCTCTCCTCGTTTAGCAGATGAATTGCTCCCGTGATGGACGACACTCTCCCTCAGAGGTCAACGTTTGGCGGTTTGACCAGGACATACCAGCACCTCATGTATGACTTGAAGCGGTAATACCGGGCTGCGTCTTGTAGAGAGCGTAAACCCAAGTGGTAAACATTGGAGACATGGCTGTGCATGGACCTGTTGGCATAGATGGGACTCAGTCTCTCTATTTTTGTATACTCTCGTCTCAGTGTCTCCAACATGGTGTCAATCTCGGTTTCAGTCTCTTTCTTGCTAACTGCGACCTATAGGTGCCTTTTAGAAATAGTAGCTTTGCGCAGCTACGCGAAGCTTGGATCAGTCGAAGAGGTACTGACCACTACGAAAATCGAGAGGGCTGCATACGCAGCCGTTCCATAGCCCTGGCTGAGCCCTTCCATCAGCTGCACAACTCCCGACAAAGCCTTCAGGTAGCCATGGCAGCTGTTAAAAAATGCAAGGGCTCCTCTGCCCACCCGTTTCGAAAGGGCATTGTCCGAGTGATGTAATTGTTGTTGTGCCTCGGCATTGTTGAGCCACTCCTTCATCAGCTGATCGAGCTCTTCGTAGGTATATTTGATGGTCTCTCTGTCTCTTTTACGGAGTTTCTTCTCAATTCTGTGCTGATCTTGCAAAATCTCCTGAACCTTTGCATCGTGCTCCAGGGCGATGACGCTCAGCGATGATTATCAGCATTGGGCAGAATTAATGTTTAGGGGGGGCTTGTTTACCTTTTTTCTTGCTCAGGAAGGGCGTTCCAGAAAGAATCAACCTGCTCTTTCTCGTATGCAACATACCCATCTGAAATGTTGGTAACTTCAGAAGCGCCGGAGCCTTGGTCCATGATGGTTACAATTGTTTCAACCGCGTTCTGGTCAACAGTAGTTTTGATTTGGGAAACTTCAACCAAATGGATGTATCGTGTTGAATTGATATCATCTCTTGTCAAAGACCCTGGTTGAGGGCTTTGCGCGTTGCATGACACTATGTATGAGATGAGAAGGGGTGGCCGGGCATAGTCACCTCGAAACTTATTCAAATGACTGTACCTCCAGAATCCTTCGGCTAACAATTCAGGTGAACCCATAAAAAGCTTCATGCATCTCGAAACGCCGATACGAGCTCAGCTTTCGCATTGGCCCCCAATAGCAATGCTGGATGTCGGAGTGGCGTAACTTGCGATAGTAAGACATAGCATCCAGTGCGAGAAGTCCATGACAGCCCTGTGTCGCTGCACACCGAGTCTCACACACCCGTTACGATGAAAAGGGTGGCTGATTGTTGTGCTGACGACGATCATCAAAGAGCTAGTCAGTCAGGCTCCGGCCCCTTTACGTAGTCGTAATGCCTGTGCACTGCAACCCACATTGGGATTTTGAGCTCGGGAATAGAGCGGTGCAAGGTCTCCAGGCGCGAAACATAATTTGATACTTAAACATTAAAAGGAGCAGGAGCAAGAGCAGGACCACGATAAAAGCTCTTGAGCGGCGCGCCCACTCCTGCAGGCATAGTTCAGCAGGAACGATATTACAAGCCACTTTGTGACCAGTCTTCTAGCCTTGTTGTATATCAGCGATGCTAATCATCTCGTAGGCATTCTGCGAAGTGCCACCTTCACACAACGCAGGCAACACATGGCTACTGGCAGATGTCGTTGGTGGTACGGGTTACGCGGAGATGTTTGAACTAATGACCAGGCTCTGTCTGCAAGCCGTTACGTATTCGGTGACTCTGGTGTTCTCATGTATGACTCCTTTTGCAATATGATAGCATGGTGGTGTGCTGCTCGCATACCACTTTCCATGCAGAGCCACCGTCACACAAGGTGACAAGGCGCAGATGACGTGTCAATGGATCACCTATCCCCAGAGGAGTCTTGACTCGTCTACGGAGTAACCCCAACGATGTTTACATGGTGAAGGCTGCATGCAGCCGGCTCCTACCGGTCTGCATATGGATTCGGTGCTTCACTCGACGTTTCCACTATGAACCATTCTGTCGTCTGCGTCAGATATAGTTTTTCCCGGCTCTGCGGTGAAGCCTTTTTGCGTTTTGACTCTTTCAGTTGCCAATCGAAATGGCGGGGACTGACAAAACGATGTACAACAATGATCGCGTCCAACAACTCGAGCACAAGTATATCGAGTTGCTGGAAAAGAGAATTGCCTCTCTGGAGGCACTAGTCAAGAAGTCCGGAACTGTGAGTTTCTATTCAAGACCCGGTTTCCGTTCAAGGCCTTGTCTGAAGTATCAGAAGCTAAGATCTGAACTTGCAATAGGTGACGTCAGAAGATGCACAATCGGCAGGGCGCCCCAAAGCCGACGAGGTTACTAATACCCACTCCCGTGGTTTTAGATTCACGTCAAGCTTACAATTTTAGCATCAGGGTACTTACAACGAGAAGATCCAGTCCGACAGCGGACAGCTCCCGATGACTCGACTGCGGGAAAGGGTTCTTATTGATGAAGGCGTGCCCGAGGAAAAGGACATAGATCCATCGGAATTCGAATTTCTGGACAGACTAGTACCTGAAGAAAAAGCTGAAGCCTGAGAGAACGTATAAGTTGACATGGTATCGAGTCCTTTCAGAGAAGCGCAAGTATAAATACTCTGAAATTGATGTGAACAGTCCCGAACTCCAAGCGCTTCTTCGAGTCGCCCTATCCCACTATCCACGACTACATTTCCCGTCAGATGGGGTGCATGAAGGCATCAATTTCAAAAGCCCCTTCATACATCTGATCCACAATTGGGACAAACTTGAGGCTCTAACTGAGGACGACTCGGCGGAATACAGAGGTCTAAGAGCTAAAGCCTAGGTATTTGCATCTGGAGAGAGCAGGGAGGTCACTCACCTGGCATCATCTCTGGTCCAGCTTGCCAAAGACGAACACCTGGAGAAAGCAAGGAATCAGTTGCGGGAGATGTTATCGAGAGTCCGAAACACCCCGGAGTTGAGGTCGTACTTTAATAGTCTCGATAGAGACACAAAGGCCAGGTCGGTCCAATTCGATTACTTGTGGACTATTTTCCCGCCTGGGGAGGTTGTCTACTCCACTGTCTTTCTGAGAGAACCCCAGTTATTCATAGTGAAGGGAGGCTACGAGTCGAGTGACTCTGAAAGGGACAAGAAACGCGTCTGGAAACTCATTTGCTGGTCGTATGACTGGAATGGGAGAACCTTCAATCGTGTTCCCGTTAAGTTCTGTTTCGAGGAATTCCAGGGATTTAGAGCCACCGAAACCCTGGTCGCTTATCCCCTGAAGATCATGCCAAAAGAATCCATAGACAAGCTTGTATTTCAGTTGCGTCGAAGGGGCGAACGGTTCAGGGACTTGTGTACCAAAAAGAGAGGCGAGCAAATGTTCGACTATGAAGGAGAAGCCATCACCCACGGAGCAGGCTTCCAGAAGTTGGGAAACAGAAGAAATGTAAGATTATCCCAACAAATCTAGATGAGAAAGCTGATCGAGTCCTTCTTCCCAGGACGACAGGGACGACAGGTCCGGTGGCTTGTTGTCATACAGCATCTTCGGGATTCGTCGGAGAATCTTGCCACAACCACCTGCCTCAAAGAGCCAAAAGGTCCGTTCAGATCGCAGCTTTAATCAATGTAAATATAAATTGCCGTCTCTGACGAGAAATTCATAGATTGACGGGAGAGTCATGGTCGATTTTGGTGCATATCTACAACATGCACCGCACTCTTCCTCTCTTGCCCCTATAGACGACGCAGCCCTGAGCGGCAAAGACGAGGAGTGTCTATGTTCCACTTGGTCAAGCAACGAAGACCTCAAAGAGAATCAGAAGACGTACTGGGATGATGTCCCTCCTAGCAAAGAATTTGCGGATCTACAGCTCCAGCTCTGCCCTCCTCGAGTACTTGGATATCATCTGCAAAAGAAAACATAGATGGAGTTGAACATTGCATTAGACGAGAAGCGCGAGGAGAAGGGGAAATTCCTAAAGGACACACAGCAAAAGGCTAGTCGTGAAGCTTTCAGCAAGCTGCAGCTTGTTCCCTCACAAAAGAGGCTTGTGCAAGATCTCGTTGAGAGCCACGCCCGCGAGGCTATGAATATGCCACTCATGGAAGATATTATGAAAGGAAAAGGAAAAGGATTGGTGATACTACTTCATGGCAAGTCGTATCTGGTCGCTCGTCATTGTCGTGCCGAAATCTGACTCTTGAGTCTTGACATATAGGCCCTCCAGGAGTTGGCAAGACATTGACAGCAGGTGAGCCTTCGCTTTGACGTTTGCACCCCCTGTGTAAGTGCGCCTCTGATATGGATGGACGGGAAATAGAAAGTGTGGCTCAACTGGCGGGAAAACCACTCTTCTCTGTGGGGGTCGCTGATATCGGGTTGAATCCCGAGGATGTTGAGAGAAACCTCGAGGCCTCGTTCAAGCTCGCTGCAAACTGGCGAGCCGTGTTATTATTGTGAGTTGCTGTAACAGAACTACAAGCGTGAAAGGCTAATTGGCATCTTCCGAAGCGACGAAGCCGACGTCTTTTTGGAATCGCGCAGCGCTCACACATCGGATTTGAATAGAAATGCACTTGTTTCTCGTATTTGAATACAATCTTCCTTATCCCATGCTTCTTTCTAATTCGTTTTTGAGTTCTCCTTCGCGTATTGGAATATTACGATGGCATTCTCATTCTTACCACCAATAGAATCCGTCAGCTCGATATTGCAGTCCAATCCAGAGTCAACCTCGGCATCAAGTACGGAGACCTCGAGAAGGATCAGAAGTTGAACATCATCAAGAGCTTCCTAGGCCAGTTGTCAGCCGAGAGTTTAGAGAGCCAAGACAAGATTATGGAATGGATTGATGAGGAGGAGGAAGGTAGGGAACAGATCAAGCCACTCAACGGTCGCCAGATCAGGAACATTCTCTTCTCAGCGGCGTCGTTAGCAATGAAAGACAATACCCCACTGAAGTTGGACCATGTCAGAAAGATGATGAGGGCCAGTTTCTTGCTCCACGACAGTATCAAAACTGTCGTAGAAGAGGCGCGGGACAGGGCTGAGGCGAGAAGAACCTAACAAGCAAGACAGCTAGTGGATACGTGATCATCTTGTTTCCCGTCGGTAAAGTCGTGTTTCTTTTCAACAATCGTTTTTGAAACTACTGTAGCATCTTTACAATGTGGATAAAAACTAATAAAAAAATGAATGCCTCTCCCAATGAATTTGGTTGGATTTCTCATGAATTCTTTTCATCTTTACTGCCTCATTAACTAAACGATTCCATCCATCCGGGCGTGGGCCCTTCAAGGTGTCGGAATGGGAGGTTACTGCATTACGGACAAAAAGAGTATATACAAGGAAGTGTAAGACTCCGAAGAAAAGCTCTGCCCAGCGAGACATTGATCGAACAACAGAGTCGTATGACTCCCTCAAAAGTGTGGAAAAGAATACGAGGATGAATTATCATGAATTATTACTGATTAAATTATTTTTAAAGAAAAAATCAAAAAAACCGGCTAGATGGAGGGCATCTAGTAATACTGTATTTTGGCCGTACCTAGGCCAGGGAACCGTAACTAACCACCCAAGACACCATGAACGCATCGCCATGCGTCAGACACACTAGCCGAATTGGTGATTCATCACAGCGCGCGCCGGCGAAGGCTATCGCGAGATGAATATATTTTATAGACTCTATAATGCTTAATGCAGCCCTAAATTCGCTATGCAAACACTTCAATATTAACGGGTGATGTCATTTCGGTCCTGTGCCAACAAGCTGGACCTTTTACCAACGTTGTTACTCCGCGGCGAGGCTGCCAGATATATTGATACTCTAATGTTCTTTTCCTCTCGCATTTGAATGTAGTTCTAGTAAAACACAGTAAGGCGAGCTATATAGTCTGCTTCTCTTATAATATACTCTAAGGTAGAGACATATTATACCAATACATTACTTGGAAACATATGGCTTTTACTGGCATTATTCTATACCAAATATTTAGCTTTCTCTATTTCTGCACTCTTCAAGAATACGCCTGATATTAGCAGCGTTACTGTTGACAAAAGACTTCTGTGTACAGTCACATATGAATTGTGAGAAACCCAGCCACTCCAATTCTCCTATATTGAAACAACGGATGCTACGTAAAATTGAGTCCTAGATTGATGTTATATACGTCGGGATATTTCTAGAGACTTGCGGTATGCCCCCTTAATGGAAACATATGCGGTAAGTCTCAGACACAGCAACACTCCCTGACAGTATAAACACGCCCTTCTTCTCGGAGGAATTCGCTCCTCATGAGCAGGGTTGAAGATCTTGTGGGCCAGGCGACGGCACGACTGTCACTAAGATCGTCTCATTGATGTCTGTTAAATTTGGACGAATCTACCCCATCGCCCACAGTGCGGTCGATTTATTGCGCAGAGACTACCAAGAACGAAGCTAGTATAAAAGGCCGCTATCCATTAAAAATGGGCAGAGGATAGCGAAGAACACCGCAATACTTTGCCGAGCCTTGTTGCGTCTGCAGAGTTTTCCGTCTCTCGCCCGGAAGCTTTTAAAAAGCTACACTGTGTTCATAACCGTTTCTTGCCTCGTGATTACAGTCTCTCACCAGACTGGAAAGGTGGCTGTTAGCTCCACCTTGTGAAACCAAATATAACGCAGCATTAGCCGCTTTCTCATTCGCTTGCTTTAGCACCTGATCCTTCAAAAAAAAAATAATTTTTTTTGACTTTATTCCAATTCAATATGCACTGGCGTCTTTACAGAATTGCCCGCCATCTCCCACGACAACATTTGTCGGGCCTTTGAGAATAGTTGGTGGCACGGCTTGGCAGGCGTAGGTCTTTGCTATTGAGCGTGATGCGCAATAGTCGCTAGCCTCATGCGCAGAGTTCGAGTAGAGAGCAGAGGAGAATACCAAGGCGTGAATGAATTTGACAGACCCAGTGCCCGCATATGGCTGGATACACTAGTACATGATGCGTTGTGACCTGTCGGTCAACGGGCCGCAGTCCATGTGCCGAGTTGATTCGACCAGAGGCCACGGCTCATTGGAGAGCGCAGACTGACCATTGACCGTGACAGCGGGCGGCGCATATGGCCTTTGTGCTGCAAGGAAGGGTACCCAAGTATGTACTCCTTATCAAGGTGGGAGAGAAGATGGAATGGTTGTGGTACCACACCGGTAGACATCAATTGCCAATGTGAAACGCTTGTGGATGAATGGCGGGACAAACATGTCCAGATAGATCAACGACAGGATTAACCAGTTGACGTAGTGGGGCTTAGTCTGTTTCCATGTTCGCAGATGGCAATCAGGCAGGCTTGGCCAATGATGAAAGTGTCCATCACAAACGGTCACGACGGCGTCGGGGAAGGCTGCATGCACAGTTGCGCTCAATTCATATGATGCCTTCACCGCCTTTGGATGTGACAACACGTACTTCGTGTTCTCTTCAAGTTGCTGGGGTGGCGGCGCGCATCTTGCCTCGTCCACTTTTAAACATCCCTGCGTGCATGCTCTCTGGCGCGTGGCCTGCAAAGAGGATGCCGCCGGGGGACATGTTGGCGATACAGCAGATAAATACTATTTTATCATGAGGCGGCTGTCTCCGTCTCCAGATTCTGCGGTGCATGACAAGTGCTGCATGGTTTATGCTTGCCGGCGGCACTGTACTCGCAGCCGAGGGTACTCGCCCAGCCACCAATACGACCAATGGGCAACTAGAGACGTTCTGACTGCTTTTCATGTTGCCTACTTGTCATGCCATCTTTCTAGTTGTTGGTATATTTTGTAATTGCAAAAAAGTCTATGAATGCCATCAGTATCTCAAGAGAAGCAAGAAGACCAAGCCAATAAAATTTATCATAAATGGGGTTGTCGGCCTGATTTGAACGAAGGTGATGTGCATTCAATTTTTGGGTTAAAGTCTAGGATAAATACCTAGGTATCCAGCGGCGACGGAGAAATAAGTCAGTACATGCGTGGCCGCCTTCTTATCGCTTTGGTAGAAGCACTATTAGTAGTTCCCAGTACATTAATTCGTAGCGTTTTCGGCAAAGAGACACGTAGAAAAACCTGGGCACCCAACAAGCGTTCTCTGGAGTACTTGGTGTCCAGTGGACTCTGCACAAAGTGATGATACTTGACATGTGTCCAAGTACTTGCCCACTTCCATCCTCCACTCCAACTCCCATGTTCCCCCTTCTCCTCCCATCAGCCTCTTCATCTGCCTGATGCTCGTCTACCTGGAATTCGGCCACAGCCATTTCACCCATCTCGTTTCTCGTTGCCCTCACAAAGCTTATCTTGTATTCTACAGCCCAATCTTGCCCTGATTTGTAGCCTACATACGCCGTTCCCGTGCTTCACGAAAGTCTGCCCCCTCCATTCCGGCAACCCTGTCTGACGTCTTGCCTGAGATTGGACGCCGCTTCACGCCATTGTCGTCGGTTGCCGTTGCGCCATCGCCGTACCTGTTCGACCGGTTCGTGTCAACTGGCGTGTGCTGGCGTCACAAACCGTCAACTGGTCGGTACGTGGAAGCAGTTGACATTGTGCAGCTCTCGGTTGGCCGCTAAAAACTGAGACACCACCAGACACAAGCTGCTGTTCAACTCCGCTCAAAGCAGCCACCAAAAACTGGAACCAGGCGTCCATCTTGCAACCCCCCCTTGCTGCCCTGGCCCGCCTTTAATCTGGGTCAAGGTCGACCAAAGACCTTTTCCTGTGCCTGTCACTGGATCTCAACCTAATCCAACGCCCACAAGTCGTAGCGGAGCGATCCACAACCACCATATCTGAACGCCTTGGCCCCCCGGCCTCTTCCTTCGCTTTACCGCAATCCAGCCGCTCGTTGTTCTTTTTCTCTGCCCGAGACGTTTCCAGCCATTGGCGAGGCCATATAGAGAGGGAGGTCTTGAGATTTTGGCTTGCGCGACGAGACTGAAGCATCGACTCGACATAGTTCTCGAGTAGCGAAAGCCCGTCACCGCGTCATTTGTCGATTCTTGCCGCTCTCCCCGCCCGACTTCGCTCCTCTTGTCGTGTCTCGCCCCTCGCTGCCCTCTCCCACAATGGGCGACTACGACCGCACTCAATCGCTAGACGCTGGCGTCGCAGATGGGCCATCAAAATCCCAATTCAGACCCGGGCCTTCTCTCCCTGGATCCAAGGGTCCGTTGTATATGCAGAGCTCTGACGGCAAGCATGTGCTTGTGCGAAGAATGCGGCGAAAGGAGGATGGCTCATGGAAACATTTTGCCCGGTGGTTTGTTGAGAACCAGATCAGTACGTCTACTCTGCCCTCAATCGGAATTGCCAGGAACCCTACAAATTGCGAGGCCAAAAGAAATTCCTCCCAATGCCTTGTTTGGCCTCGATTGCATTTGCGGAGCGTTGGTCGTCAAATTCTCATCATTGGATTGATTGAATTCAATTTTTTTTGATGCTTTCAGCCCCTCACCAAGCTTTCACTGACGTATTCTCTTAGGCCTCTCCTTCAACCTCCTCGCACTCCTGTTCCTCTGCCACAATTTCATTCCGAAAGCTCGAGCGCACACCCACAAGTATTTCCAGCTCGCCTACTACAATGCCAAAACCGGCCAGTATGGTAGTGGTTTCGACGACACTTATTTCATTACTTTCTGCATTGTCCTCTTTACACTCCTGCGAGCTGGCTTCATGGAGTACGTTTTGGCCCCGTTTGCCAGAATGCAAGGCGTGACCAAGAAGAAGGACCAGATTCGGTTTACAGAACAGGCCTGGTTGCTTGTTTATTACAGCGTGTTTTGGACCATGGGTGTGGTGAGTTTTCCGCCTCGGACACGCAGTATTACCCGCCAGTACGCTTCGAAATGCTTATGCCAGCTATTTGCTGTATAGTATATCTACTGCAAGTCGCCGTATTACCTCAATCTGCGTGAAATGTGGACCGATTGGCCGAACCGAGAAATGCACGGTCTGATGAAGGGATATGTTTTGGCGCAGTGGGCTTTTTGGCTGCAGCAAATTATCGTCATCAATATTGAGGAGCGTCGCAAGGATCACTGGCAAATGTTTAGC